AGAAGCACAGGTACAGGGATTGGCTGTGGGCAGGAGTAGAGCCTCTATTTCACTCAGATGGTGTTATGGACAGAATGTTTGTGTCTCCCCAAAATTTGTATATTGAAGCCCTAACCCCTAGTGTGGCTGTATTTGGAGATGGGGCCTGTAAGGAGGCAAATAAGGTCAAATGAGGTCATAAAAGCGAGGCCTTGATTTGATAGGATTAGTTTCCTTCTAAGAAGAGACACCAGAATGCTCAATGTTTATCTCTCTGCACCCACCCAGAGGAAAGGCCATGTGAGGACAAAGCAGCTATCTGCAAGCCTGGAGTGGGGCTCTCACCAGAACCCTACCACACTGCTCTTTGATCTCAGACTTGCAGTATCCAAAAATGTGAGAAATATATGTCTATTGTTTCAGCCCCCTAGTTGGTGGTGTTTTATTATGGCAGCTCAAGCTGACTGAGAAAGATATGAAAGAAAAGGACAGTGGGGTATAAATTAGACACACCTATAACATATTGGTCAAAGGAAGCTCATCCATAGTCTTGACTCTCAGAAAATGGGAGACAAACCAGTGTGGTGCAAATGAAAATGGAGGTGGTAAGGTCAGGAATTTGAAGAGACACGTAGACATCAGGGAGACCCTCTGAGAGCCAGGGGAGAGGGAACTGATGTTGGACACGTGGGGATTCTGAAGAGGGCTGTGGAAAATTTGGGGATCCCGGCAGCACAATGAGCTGGGACCACAGGAGACAATCAACCAAGGATGTCCCTTCTGCAAATGCCCCTTGGAATCTGTCAAACACAGAATGATGAAGCTGGGTGGGTTCCAGAATATTCTTATTCTCTCAAGTCCACATGAACATTGAGCAGTCCTCTGTTTGTAATGTAAGTAAGTAGATAGGATCTGAGTGTTGTGGGTTTTACCTGGGGCTGCAGACTGTCCCAGAGCCTGAGTGAAGGTCAGTGGTGAAAGCTTAGTGAAACCTCAGCTTACTAAGGGCGAGGAAGCAGGGACCAAATCAAGGATCACTGGAGGAGGCTGATCTGAATGTTAAGTCTGGCCTTTCAACAGGAGTGCTAAGAAGAGAGCTATGCCCTCCTTTGACATGGGAAGTACCAATGGGGTAGGGATAATGAGGACAAAGAGGAGGGATAGGAGCTCAATGGGAATGGCAAAAAGGTGATGCTAAAGCAGAGAGGACTCTGCTAAGCAGTCTGGGAAGTGTATCTACCTTCATTTTGTTTGCTTTTGTAACCCCAAGCTCCTCTCTGTCTCTCTTGATAAAATGCTGTGTGTATTTCAGTGTTTGTTTTGTATTTTATAAGACGGTTAGATAAAACTGAACGTAATGTCATTTTGAGGTGTGGGAGAGAATATTAGGACAGCACCTTGGGCACAGGAAACCAGAGTAGGCCTCTCTATAGGAGCAGATGCATGTGCTGGTTCAGAATTTCAGTCCTCATGCCACCACATCCAGCTGTGTGACCCGAGCAAATGGCTTCAGTGTCTTCATCTACACTGGCCTGGAGGTACTGAGTGTTGATGAGAGAATTAAATCAGGTGCTGCTGGGAATGACTTAGCAGACTGTCTAGTGTGAAATAATGAAAGCCTTTATCATCATCATCATCCCATTAATTTTAGGGATAGTAAAAATTTTAAAAGAAATCCACATACTTCCAATCCAATACTTCCTCAGAAAATCAGAAAGTGATTTTTCAGGTATACAAAAAATCCCAGTGACTCTTTGAAGAGTTATCAATATCCAGCTCCTCAAGTGGCTTTTGCAGGCTTTCCTAAAATTCTGCTCAAAGAGCCCGTCAGTCCCCAGATCCAGAGGCACTACAGGAAGAGGCAGGGACCACCATGTGCTGGAGGCTTCTATGTGCCAGATCCTATACTTGGAGTTTAAATGTTTCTGAGCTGTCAACTGAGGAGGGATAGATAGAGGAGGGGGAAAAGTGGGAAGGAAAGATGTAAAAGGATCAAGGATACCATTGCCCGCAAAAGTCTTTTTATCTGGTTCGGAAATGGATTTCATGAGGTACACCTGCTTCTGTTCTCCAACTCAGATTCCCTGTCACCAACCTCACTTCCCTGAGTCCAACATGAAATTAACACCTATTATTAGCCGTATGAATGCATCTCCCCAGAAACATGACAACCTTTAAGGCAATGGTTCTCAACCAGGGAAAATTTTGCCCTCCCTGTCTCCTAGAGGACGTTTGGAAATGTCTGAAGACATTTGTGTTGACACAACTTGGAGATATGTTTCTACTGGGTAGAGGCCAGGAATGCTGCCAGACACCATACAATGCACAGGACACACAACAAAGAATTATCCAATCCCCTTTCTTCACTGTTCTCATTATCTACACCCCATTAGTTAAACCCATGCCAAGGGAGGATATAGCTTTCTTCATGGCAACCCTTGTTGAAAGCTCAGACTTAAGATCCAAGACTATAGTTTCAAAGTTAAGAAACAGTGATTGAGGAAAAAGTAGTCCCACACACACCACTTAACTCACTATGATTATCAAATTGGCAGTTTGCCAGATGTCCTGGATTAAACAGTGCTACCTTGAATGATTAATTTTCCTCTGCTTGACACATTTTGTAAGTAGTGATTGCTTTCAAGATGTTATTCTTCATTACTTGTTGCTATATGAAACTGCCACAGCTTAAGACAATCCCTATAGATGTCATCATCATTTCTTTCATTCATTCATTTAGTCATTCATTCATTCAACACATGATCATTGAGCTCCCTCTTACATGGTATCAGGGAAGAGAGGAGGATGGATGTGCTGGTGAATGATTATAACACTGTCCCAGGTGAAAGTCCCCATGAGATAAACATACGAGGGTGGGGGTAGCAAAGGGAGGTGTGGTCAGGGTTTCCTTTAGCAATCTCAGAACACTGTCCCCATCACCACTTTTGGGTTTCCACTTGCAAGGGTCCCTCTTGGTACCTCCTCCCTGTCTAGAAAGGGAAGGGAAAAAGAGGTAGCGACAAGCAAGTTGGCCTTAATAACCTCCCATTAGGACAGTGCCTATGCTCTTATTCAAGGGAGAGACCCCAATGTACGAAAAACTGTCTGAATATCCTTAAATTTCAAAATCAAATGTCTGACCATTCAGTCATGCAGAAGGAAAATGGGATGTCATAGGAAATGGCAAAATGTGAATCAAAGTAGACCAATTCCACTCCTATTTGTTAAAGGAGTTTTCTGCCAAGAAGTATGAGACTTTAGGTCAGGATAAGCCTATAAAATAATCAGAAGACCAAGACTTACAGGAAACTATCTGGTAATATAATAGAAGACAGTACCAGTGAGTGCATGAAAATGACATATAAGGACAAGGGATGTAATTGGCAGAGCACTGGGTAGTTGGAAATCAAGAGATCTGGGTTGTAGTCCCAGCTTTACCACTAACTTGCAGATTTGGGGCAGGTCCCTCCTCTCCATGGTCTCAGTTTGCTCATCTGTAAAATGGGGGAACCAGAGCATAATGAAGCATCCTTCCAAGGCCCACTGAACCAAGCGAAGGCTTTCATTTCCCCCTCTGCTTATTCTTGGATAACATGGGGGTCCCTTTAAGATTAAAACATAAGTTGAACCTCCAACCTCTTGATTTCTTCAGACAACTCCAGGATTACTGCAGATACCCGAGACGTCACAAAGAGGAAACTACTGCCTCTCCCATCCCTGGGCACTGAATATCAGCATCCCTCTGGGCTACATTTGGCTCTGAATTGTCCCCAGTTCCCCAGGTGGCTTTTCTCCACACTGGGAGTTCAAACTGAGTGGGGGCTGTTGTTCTAGCACCTTCCAACACCAACACTGAGAAGAGGCTCGAAGGTTATCAGGTAGGCGGGGATAAGATCCCCAAATTCCACTCTTGCAAACTACTGCTGCTGGAATATCATGGACCTGCTGGAATGATGGGCATCTACTGATTGTTAACACTCCCATCAGCTCTAGGAGCTGAGGTTCGTCCTATGATCAAACAAGGGAGTACTGTAAGAGGGCAAGGTTATTGGACACCAAAAAGTACTTGCCCAGGACAGAGATGGAAGGCTCAAAATTGGGTCCCCAAGTGCTTTCCCTGGGGAATTTCTTAGGACAGAGGCCTTGGGGGCCAGTCTGGAATGTTAGTGGAAAGAAGTATGGTAGTTCTGGAATCTGCAGCCCTCACTCCCCACCCTTACCACCTCCCCATTCCTTCCATTCAGCCAGTCTGGGTGCAGCCACTCACAAATCCCACAGGGAGAGGCCTGTGATTCCCAGGAGTTTCTGTGGGAAAGAAAACTCAACTACAGACTCTGCTGCCTTCTCTTTTCTTTTCCAGCTCCTCCCTGGACCTGTTTTGTGGAAACCAGCTGCTCCCAGGGGTCCTCAGGCATGCGGACATTAGGGAGACGAATCCCTCAAGGGAGAGGGGGCAGGGAGCTACAAACAGTCCCATCCCAAACCCGAAAGCTGCGGGCGGACCTTCTGAGGTTTTCCAATGTGCAGCCCGATTGTGTGAAAATGTCAAGGCTTTGGGCAGACAAATGTGGGTTCCAACTGTCTTTTGGGGGCAATATTTTTTGGTCTTTCCAATTCTCGGCTTCCTTGTCGGTAAGATGAGGGTGATAATATCAGCCTTGTAAGGAAGTTATGAGGTTTCAATAAAATAATGGGAGCAAAGTGCCCCGCACACAGTAGGCACCTCCAGGGACAGCTCCAGAATTTCCGCCTAGGTGTGTCTTAGAGGATCAGTCCAGGGGTCCACAGAAAGGGCGGGGTGGAGCACAGGGGTGCGTCTGAGAGCTGCCTTCTCCTGGCGCACATGTGTTTATTTTGAGGGTAGGGGGCCCTCTGGATTGAAACCGATAGAGATTAATGATGAGGAGGATGGGATTAAGGGTTTTCACACTTTAGTAGAAGACATGGGGGTGTCCCCGGCTACCCCCATCACGCCTGGACCCGAAGGAGGGTCCCTGCCCGAGGAGGCGCACGGTACTCACAGTGTGCTCAGCGCCGATGAGGAGCAGCAGCAACAGCCACAGCGAAGGCGGCAGCAGACGGGGGTTCATGGTGCCCGCGGCGCTCCCTGCACACTCCCGACGGCCTCTCACCTGAACGCACCGCCCAGCCCACTCCGGAGCTCAGCGACCCCCGGGTCCTGGGCCCCAGGCGGCCACCGAGCTTGAGGGCTGGGATCCGCAGCCCACTACGTCCCCAGACTACACCTTCTTGGACTAGGTGGTCGCGCTCACTGATGAGAACGCCAATGCTGCCTGCCCTTCTCCACCCAGCTTTACCAGCCAGGAGCAAGCGCACGGGCTGATGAGGGAGGAGGAGGCGGCGGAGGGTGCGGGGAGCTGGAGCTGGCTCCTGCAGGCTTGGCAGAGTAAGAGGGGCGGCGGGGCGGGGCGGGACGGGGAGGGGCAGGTGGAGGAGACCCGGAGAGGGCTTAGCCCTTGACGCTACAGCACCCCAGTTACATAAAAGGGCTCTCAGCTCTGCCATAACCTCGCTGCGCGGAGATGGGCAACCTATGCCGCCTTTTTGAACCTCACGCCTAACGACACAATAATACCCACCCTGGGGATGAAAGCTTTGCTGGTTCCTGTGCAATAGCCGTTGCTTGGTCAATGCCTGTTACATCTAGTCAGTGTGGCAGGTTTTCACTTTATTTTTCTTCACTATTAAAGTTATACTGGCTCACTGCAGAAAGTTTCACTACGATGAATACCATCACCCAAGAAAGCCTTTGATGATCAGGTGAACCAAGGAGGGTCATCTGGTCCACCTGGGTATTTGGGGTTGTGCTGAAGATGGGAGACTTCGTACTTCCTGGTCTCACTGGGGGCTATTTAAACATCAGGCAGATATTCTCAGTAGCCTGCTCAACCTGAGTCTCCAGTGCACAGACGTTCTGGAGGCTGGCCCTGTGCCGCTCAGTACAAGATACCCTCAAATGGCTCTTGTACACCCAATTTTACCTCCTCTGCACTGGTAACCACTCCCTTTCCTCTGGTCTCTCTACTTGACCTTTCCTGGGGCACTTTAAATACATCAGTGTATTGAATCCCCGCCCCTCCAAAACCCGTAGGTGATATTATACCAGTTTGACAGAGGACAGCGGAGACTGGAGAAGGATCAATGGGTGTTCAGGTACATGAAACTCAGAAGGTCAGAAAGGAGAGCCTGGAACTGCACTTCAGTGACTGATCCGATTCTCTGTGACTGACCTCTAGTCAGAATGCTGAACCACTGTTAATGTAGATGCTGTGGCCCTCAGCAGCCCTCCTACATGAAGAGGCGATTTATAAGGTAAGGTTGGTAAACCACAGCAGATAGAAAAGGTGAAAAAATAATTTAAGTTTCCTGGTCCACAGTCAATACTCAGTATATGTGAAGCTAAAGTTTACATAACCACAAACTCACTTTTAGGAACTTTCACTATAGAAATACTTACCCAAGAGCCCACTAAAAATTGTGCAAGGATGTTTGTGGAAGCACCATCACAGGAACAGAAAACAGGGCATAATGTCATGTGAAAGGGGACACTTAATCTTACCCTTAAAGTTTTCTTCCATATGGAGAACAACCATGAGAATAATCCTTCCCGCCTCTCTACCAATCTCATTAATGCCCCTCCTCCCGACACACACACACACACACACAAGACCAGCTTTACATGACTGATGATGCATTTGGGATAAGGACTGGCATGAAATTGTGCCCCCAACTCTTCCCTTCCTTTGACATCACTCCCATCTGCATAACTGAGTTGCATGAGCCAGACTCTCCTTGGTGGCCAAGGCTTTGACTGTGTCGGTCCAGTAACACCAGTGGCAGGGTGGTAGTCTATCTAATTGTGGGGTTTGCTACTCGAAAAGCTACTCCCCCACAAGTATAAACCACATTCTCCAAGACCAACATTATTACTAATAAAAGTGATTGTTGCCTTGTCTGTCTTCATCTTATTTCTCAATTGGTTTTGTTGTAGACCGCTCTGCCTAGTTTTAGGAATTGTATCTCTACCGCTTGTGGCTAAGGGCGAGAAAGACAACCTTTGGAATGCCAGCCGCAGGAGACAAAGCCTGTCTCTGGTAGCAAATGCTGCCTCAGTTCCTCTCCCTGCCCCCAAACCTTGGTAGGAAGTCAATGATGGGTAAGACCCCCCACAGTGGGGGGCAACCTAAGCCAAACTTGATCACTTGGGAGGCCTTCATGGAAGGACTCAGGGGGCTGCAACAAAGAGCAATGGACTCTCGCCCCCCAGCTTTGACAAAGCCTGGGTCCCCGTGTTCTCTGGGAGAAGCGCTTCTTGGCTCTAATCCCCTTAAGCCTGAATACCTGTTGGGGAGAGGTGCAGCTCCTTGCCTTGCTAGAGCATGCCCTGGGGGAAAATCTGGCATCACAAAGACTTCCTGATAAACCTGTGAAATCTGCTCTGCTAAGAGTGCTTTCATTCATATGATAAGTGTCTGAGAGGAAATGAGTATGACTCGCAAAGTTTCTGCAACTATCTTCCTGACAGACACTGACTCAGACTCTGAAGCCCTCAGATTTCTTTGAAATGTAATCTACTGTTTGATCCTTGCCACCCTGTATTCCTGTGTATTACAACCCAATAAAAGGCTATGGAACAGGGCGCCCAGGGCCTTTTTCTCTTTGGAGAAACTGGCCGATGCTGGCCTTTGTCTCCCCTGAGAAACTGGCTACAGCCCACTCCTCCCCTAAGCAGATCTAGCATGTCTTGGTCATATGTATTCACTCATGTCTGTGACACTGGGGGGGGACTCATGAAGAAGTCGCCCCCACATGGTTTGAGATTTAGACTGGAAAAAAAATGTTACATGCTGGGCCCCACTTAAACTCTAACACCCTAAATGTGCACCAGAAAGTGCACGTGGTAAGGACTTGCAATTTTTACTATATAGACTTCTCTGTTGCTTGAATATTTTCTGTAGCTGCTATATGTATTGTGCTGGGGGGAAGGGGTTGACAGAAAGAAATAAAAAGAAAACAATACAAAAATGCAATTTGTGTTCTATCCCAGAACCTCGTGATCTTAACTGAAGAAGCAAAACATCTGTTCTGGGCAATTTAGTCAACTTCTGGCCTGTGGCAAGCCATTCATTCTTCCTTTAATTGGAGACTGCCTCTCAGAGCATGAAAAAGGGTTTGAAGTGCTCTGTGAGAATTCCTTTTAGAAGCCTTGGATGCAACAGTGGCTTTGTAAAACACACCTGAGAGAACAGTTTCATAACAGATGTGAGGGGAAGAGGTAGGGAGCTAACAACATATTTAATACCAGTCATGCGTAAGGGAGACTTGTAGGGTGTATTGTCATGTCAGCCTTCCAAGACTACAAAAGAGAGGATTTCCTCCCTTGATTAATAGGATGAAAACTTGAGACTTGGGAAAGATAAGCACTTGCCTCCAACAACACACCTAAAAGTGGGTGGGGCCAAGATTTGAACCCAGGGTATGGTCCAAAGCCCATGCACTTTGCATTGTACCAGTACCCCTCTCAGTCATGAAGATGACTTCCTTAACCCTAGGGCTTCTGTAGCTCTTTTGCACACATCATCTCATTTGATTCTCAAATCTGTGGGTTAGGTAGGACCAGCCGTCAGTGGCTGACAGAAGAGGTAGCAACCACTGCTCACATGGTTTAATTGAAACAAGTTTAATAACAGGACTGTGTGCAGAGGTGTGACAAGGTTAAGAGAACCAACAAGGGAGAATGAGGAGCCAGGGATTAGCATCAATGGGTGTGAAGAGTGACAAAGATGCTCTCTTGACCAAACTTTACTCAGGCTCCTCTGAGTCCTCCTCCTGGTCCTGTCTGTCTTTGGCCTGCCTGGCACAGTCTCAGCAAGAATCCTGCCATCAGTTTTGTAAGAATCCACCCTCCCCTGACTTTTGATATCTGATCACCCTTCATGTTTGATCAAACTCACCATTCCCCACCTCTGATGTCTAAATCCTGTCAGTTTAGCAAGAATCCCACTATCCTTGATGTCTCCTATTAGTCATTTTCCTTCCATTGACTCCCTTACCTGATTCTTGTCTATAAATCCCCAGTCATCCTTTTTTTGTATTCCAAGTTGAGTTCAATCTTTCTCCCCTATTGCAACTGTCTTGAATAAAGTCTTCCTTTATTAAATTATGGAATGAAGTCTTACCATTTTAACAAGTGTCAAAATAATGTTTTCTTTCATAAAGAACAAAGAGAGAAAGCAGTTTCCCAGAAGATGGCAAGAGCTTCCCTTGGGAAAGAAGACACCCATATGAACTTAACTGTAGAGTAATGCAGCCACAGTCAAAACCGTGGCCGGGTAATGGCATCAGGTGGTGGGGTAAGTGCCTTGACCTCTCTCTTCTGTCCACTGATCTCCTGGCTCTGTCTTTCATCAGTTGAACCAACCCAAAGACAGAGACAAAGGAGACAGATAGGGAGTGAAGGGGCAGGGAGAATCTGTCCCTAGAGTTTAATCTCCTGGGTGGAGAAGGTTGAAAATGGCTTCAGAAGGGATGAGGCAAAAGGAGAATAAACCTTCTTGGAAACATCATTAACCTATTTAGAAGAGAAAGAAACAGATCTGATGAGGCTATTATTCAAGATTACATAGCTAAGAGGTAGGATTGCTGGTACTGAGATTCTGGTCTTTTGATTCACAGCCCTAAATTGTTTCTATCACTCTTAAACCCATTACCCCCAAATCTAGCAATGAAAACCCAGCGATTACTTATTACCATTTTACAGTTCTTGGCTCAGCCAGTTAGTTCTCATTTGGGGTCTCTCACATGGTCACATAAGTAGTGTCTGGGACCAGAGACACCCCAAGATTTGGTCACTCAAATATCCGGGACTAGGCAGGGAGGCTCACATGTCTGGGACTGGAGCAGCTGGGGGCTGTCGGCCATCTCCCCCTATGTCTTCCCCTGCCCCTTTGTTACAACCGTTCTGCAACACCCACCCCCACCGTTGAACCTAGGAGGCTAGAGGGTAAAAGATTTTTTTATCCTTTACAATACAAATCCCTTTAAAAATCAAATTTAAAATTTCCCCTGGTGCCAAAAGGGAAAGAGATCTTTCCTCCTCTCCATTTTCTTTAGCATTTTTCTTTGGAAAACTGACCATTAGAAATCTTTTCTCTTTCTCTTGGAGTATAAATTATAAATCTTTTAAAAAGCTAATTAAGCCTCTAGCCAGTTATGCATCTTAGGAATGTCTTTCTTGAAGGCCTTGTCATATCTTTGAAATGTGAACATCAAGAAAGACAGTGCTCTGTCTCCCTGTCACTGTGGGAGTTCAGTCCAGGCCCTTGGCTCCAAGCTGTAAT